TGAGTCTCAGCATCTTAAAGACCTAAGACTTTTTAGCACAACATGTAGTCCCAGATAGAACCTGACAATTAGTGAAGTGCAATAGGTAAATATGGCTTAGATCCCTCCATCCGCACACCTTTCAAACATCTAGATCAATACCCAAAGCAGCAGACCATTCTCTCCGCCGCAGAGGCATGAGTTTGCAGCATGGGAAAAGGGGAATGAGTGTAGTGGGTGAAAGGACGGAATCTACCCTAAATCTGACCAGAGTGCCCAGAAAAAGTCTCTCAGGTCATGAGGAAAGCAGTTTCTTCAGCACTTTATATCCTATGTGTGATCTGGCTGGCTTTACTTTCCCCTCATTCATCTAACTAGCTCCTTTTAAGATGAGCATGCTCCTGTGTGTGCACTGTCTTGGGGTGAGGGGGAGGCAGAAGGAAATCCGTGCACAGTGTGTTGTATCAGACTCTGTCACAGGACAGTGTGGTACAAATTGCCCTCAGGCATCCTCCCTGCATGTGGTGCTCCTCCCTCCATCGTGAGGCCACGCCCTGTGTGTGATGCTCCCGGCCAGTGTACCCCATGGCCAAGCATCTGCCTGCTCTTAATAAAAAAATGTCTAGTATTAGGATGTACATGACATTAGATCTCTATTAGAATTTTTAATATTTATCATCATCAGAGTGGATGATGTTAAGTACTCAGATGTAACTGACATCACACTAGACATTTTTCAGTACATTTCCTTTGAGGTATGTGTTATACAACTAATAACACAGAATCAGAAACTCTGGGAAGGTGGCCCAGCAATCTGTGTTTTAACAAAGCATCTCTACTTTTTCTTCTCATTTTCTCCCATCTGGATTTTGCCAATTTTTAGCTCTATTAGAAATTCTAGAGTGTCTTCAAAGGGCATTCATTGATATTTTATGCTTTTTGGAATCCTCTGAAACTTCCTTTATATTACAGGACTGTATTTAGAATGAGAAGGCACAGCCCATGTTTGCTCTTCTTTATTTGAAGTCAAGGGGAAAAAATAAGGGCATTTTCTTGCCCTTTAATAATTTTAAGTCTAGACCTTTTCAATACCCTTGTGGCCATCCAAAATATTTTCATTTCTTCCTCCTTCAGTACTGCAGAGGCTTTTCATACTCTCTTTCAGTCATTCAACAAATATTCACTGCAGGATAAACAGTGCAATAGATGTGGCACGTTTTCCTTTATACATGAATTTTGAAGTTAGTCCCACCCTAGTCCTTGACATTCATTGACCCGGCTGAATCTTTCTAGAAGGAAGACTGCTTAAGAGGAGTCATATTTATCTCCAGGGCAAGACATATGCTAAACACCCATTTTCAATCATTTCTTACTGACTAGTTTGAGTCAATTATAGAAAGCCTTCCAAGACAGTGATACTGACACTTGGGTTGGGGATTGCAGCTATAGGAAGAGCTTAACAGTTACAGGAAGTGTAACTTTGAGAAGGCTCAGTAGCTTAGTTACAGAAAGTGTAACTTTGAAAAGGCTCAGTAGCTTGAGTGTGGGGACTGGATCAATGAAGAGTGGAACACACAGGTTAGGAATTAAGAGTGGTCTAGGGCTCCTCACCTGGTAAGGAAGTACTAGACATAGGCGGGCTTGAACCCTGGCTCCGCCACTTCCCAGCTGTGCTAACCTTGGGCAGATTCGTTAATGTACCTGTGCCTGCCTGTTTCCTCATCTATAAAAGGATGAAGATAATAGAAGTTATCACATAATGTTGTGGTCCGGATTATGTGAAACAATCCATGTAAAACCTTTAGCACTGTGCCTGCTATTAAGTAGTCACTGGACAAATGACAGCTCTTCACCCATAAGTACCCAAGACTCACCCACTGCTGCAAGCAGATTACTGCTGCTGCCCCCACACCCTTCCCCTCTGAGGTTTATCTGAGTTTCATTTGGAGGACATATGGTGGTGGTGGCCTCTTCTTCCTCTCCTCAGAAGCTCACGGCTCCCAGCCTGGTGAGCTCAGGCCATGAGAATCAGCCCCCCACCCCACCCCACCACACTCCAGGAAAGGCCAGGGACTCCCTAAAAGAAGGTACAGACCAAAGAAGGTCACTGTGGTCCTCTGTGCAAAAGGAAGGAGAGGGAGAGGGGTGCTGAAGGGTCATAGGGTCATGGAGGGGGTGCTGCCATGGCCATCAACCAACTGAGAAAGGAATGACCAGAGCTTGAGGTAAGTCTAAAGTAGGAGATAATTAAAGTGCAGATTTGGGAAAAGAAAGGAAAATGTGAGTAGATTTGGCAGGAGATGAGTCCAGAAGGAAGCCTCATTCTTCCCTCTGCCTCATAGCCAAGCTGCAGCAGATGCGAGGCAAGAGTCAGAAGTGAGAGGGAGAACACAAAACCAGAGCCCTGTCTGCCCTGAGTGTGTGATGGACAGATGAGTCTGACGGGTAGCCCAGGGTGGGGAGGAAGAGCCATCTGATGGCTTGAAGCTTAAAACTCATGGTATAGTGCTGCGGTGGTGGCAGTTTAAGTGCAAATTTGTTAGACTTGATTAAGTCTGCTGAGTGTTGATAACACGTGAATTCAATTTTTTAAAACTTCATTGTTCAACCGAAAAAAGATGTGACAATTCCTAGACCTATCGTGATTATGGTTTCTGGACATTCGTCCTGCTGGTGTTAGGTTTAAGGGGAAAAAATTGGCAAGTAGGAAAAAAAAGTGAGCAGGATTCCAGTTCTTTTGTGCTCACTGGGGAGCTTTCCAAATACAGGAGGAGAGGAGAGGACCCGCCTGGGTTCTTTCCCAGCTCTGAGTCTGGGTTGGCTCCAGAACAGACTTACTCTGCCTAGGCTGGCAGCCTTTAGTTTCAATATTTTTCTGAGAAATGTACAGACTAGCCCCAAGGAAACATCTCAGAGGGCCCTGATGGCTAATCATTAGCTTAGAATCAATGGCGGTGGGGAGGAGGCTCCTTGCCTATCTCTTCCTCCCCAACCTGCCAGGTACAGAACAGTGGTCAGTAAGTTTCACTTAATGATTTACCCACTGAATGAATGAATGAGTACTAAACTTCACAGTGATTTGTCAAAGATGTTAGAGAGAAAGAAGGGTTGTCTGGAGATTCAAAGAGACTTAAAAAGCATACCAATTAATGCCATGTGTGGACCTTGTTTGGATTTTTACTCAAATATAAACCATGAGGCAATTGGAAAACTTGAACACTGTAATTAGATATTTGATCATCTTATTTGCCCTGCACTGTGTTTTTGCAAACTTTTAATTATCATAATTTTAAAAGTAAGAGGTTTTACATTAAAATCCAGATTTCTAACTTATTTTGAAAAATAGGAAGATCTGGCCACAGATGTGTCCATCTCCTCACTCAGCTATGACAGGCTGGAATTGCTCTTTTTAGTCCTCAAGCCCAGATGTGGATAAAGTGAAGGTTCCTGTGGCCAGGATTCTCACCTGGCCCTGGGTGGCTAGCTCACTACACACATGTGGGCAATAGGTTGCTATTGACTCTATATAAAGAGCTCCACCCACTGGTCTGGATGACATGGTGGCACGGCTGCAGGACTGCAGGAGAGCAGATACTGGATCGGTGGCAGCACCGAAGATGGAGACTGAGATGGCTGTGGGGATGGACAGGCCCAGAGGCAGAGACCGGCTTGCTGCATGCAGGCTTGCCCTAGTGATTGACCTGCCACTGTAGGAATAAAGTTGGGTATAAACCCTTTCACCCCAAGAACATTCCATTGTCATTCCTAGGTCTCACTGAATCCATAGTGAACTTGTCCGGGGCTGAAACCCATTGGCAAGACAGGGCTTTTGTTCACTTTTTGGAGGTTTCTTTCTTGTGTATTTTTAGATCTTTATACATTCTGGATACTAATATGTATATATATCTACTCTCATGAAACAGTATGGAATAAGGCTAAGCCCATGGATACTTAAGTCAGACGTTTTGGGTTCAAATTCCAGTTGTTCCTAACTGTGTGACTCTAAATTATTTAACCTCTACCTGCTTTAGTTTCATCTATAAAATGGGGTGATAATGATACCCTACCTCACTGGGTAGTAAGGGGATTAAATAAGTACATGTAGTGCAGCTAGAACAGTGCCTGGAACATAGTAAGAGTCAGTAAGTGTTCGTTGTTAATTGGCTTCTTGCATTTTACAGCTCCCATGTAATTTTGAAACAGTAAGCTCATCAAAGTTCATCGACTAAGTGGTCTCTTGCCCCATTTGTGGGTCTCCTGCACCATAGGTAATGCCCCACCCATAAAACACTTACCTACAACCGTGTGCCACACGACACTAATAACGGGGGTTGACTCTGCCTTGTATAGGCAAGTACGTATCAAATGATGTCTGCCCCTCAAGGTGCATCAGGCCAACGAAGCTGTTCCTTGTGAATGGAAAACGTTCTGCAACTTCGAAGCACCTCCTCCAAAATCTGCAGAGATAAATGCAAATCTGTCCCCTCTCCTTCACTTTAAAGATCCACAAACACCCTAAAGATAATTCATGCAACTTTGAGACCTAACTGTCATGATTCATTATTCTGTAACAATTTAAGTCTCTATTCATGATCGCGCCCCAAGAAAGCTCTCTCCCAACCTCTCCCCGGGGACTCTTTCCCCAACTTGGGTCTTTCTGTAGTGTTTCAAAAATTAGCAAACTCATGACAGAAGCGCATCTAGGAGGCATTCGGTAAATGCTTCCTAAGTGAACGAATGAAGGAAGGAAGGAATGTTATTGCATTGCTAGGTAGAAGTAATGAAAGGTGACAAGGGATGCTGGAAGGCCAAGCCAGGTGATGGCTGGCTGAACCCCCGAGTGAGGGTGCCAGGGCAGCACAGAACTTAGGAGAGTTTCTCTAGACAAGGCGTTCCCTGCCCAGCGGGTCACGACGTGCTGCGTAGAGAGCACTGCCCAGTGTGCAGCGTCCCGACGGACAGGGGCTTTCGGGCTCCGCCTCGTCGCGCCCCGCCCCCCCGGATCTGCGGCCACGCCCGAAGCGGCCGCCCCGCCGGAGCGTGCGCACTGGGGCTCCAGCGGCAGCCTCGGCTCCCGGCTCTGCTACTCGGAAGATGGCGGACCGTCCCGGCGCCAGCGGTAGCACATCCCTGAGAGGGCTGCGGGAACAGATGGGTGAGCGGGCCGGCGGCTCCCGGGGGGGATTCGGGCCCGTGCGGGAGGCGGGGTTCCGGCGAACCCAGGGACGGTTGGAGCGGCGCACCGCATGGCAGAAACTTTCCCTGGCAGTTGCCCCGCGCTGTCCGGTCGTCCCCTCACCCGCGCTGGAACCCCTGGGCTGGAACGGGGAGCCGCTGGCGGACGGGGACAGGAGGGGAAACAGCCGGCCAGCGCCGCCAACCGCCTAACTGCCATCGGCCGGCCCCGCGGGCGGGGCGCGAGGGAGCTAACGGGCGCTGTCGGGGCGGAGGAGGCTGGAACCCGGCATCCCGCGGACCGTCCCGAGCTCCGCCTGCAGTTGGTGGGTGGCGGACGCTCGCGCAACCGCCGGAACCGACGCGCCGCTGCCGAGGCTGTGCGGGCGCCGGGGCCCTTTTCTTGGGCCCTTCCAGACACCGATAGTTGGGAGTTTTCCTTCTGCACGGGGCGTTCGCCCTTTAACCTCTCCCACGATAGCAGTATTTGCCTGTCCCGAGGGCATACCTCCCGCACCCTCCTAGCCTAGGTCCCGTGAGGACGAAGCCCTGGGAGTCTTGCTTTGAGAGTTCGGATGCAACTTTCCTCTCCGCTCCTCCTGATTTGCCTAGTGTGGCACATGACTTCGCCAAGATGTCACCTTCCGTGGCACATCTTGCAGACCCTAGGCTGAACTGAAAAGGAATCAATCAGCACTTTCAGTGTTTTCTCCGAAGTCCCATCGTCAAAAAGGTTTTTTCCCCCTAAAATCGTTAATTTTATAAAATTTGGCAGCGCGTTGCTTAGCCCAGGAGACTGCTCCACTAGCCGAGGGAGATAGTATTTCTTGCTTGTAGGAGGTTGCTTTTAGCCAGTTCTCAGGCAAGCATCCTCCTGTGTGAGCTTAAATAAAATCATACAGATTTTACTAAAATCCTTAGGGATTTTTCCCTTTGCAGCTGAAAAATTAATCTAGGATCTCCTGCGATCGAAAGGTTTAAGAGCACTTTGAATCATCTCCCTAAAGAACGTGTCAGAAGCAAATACACTTTATTGCCCCATGGGGAGAAAAACTCTTTTCCTTCTGTCTCTATTTTGGTTCACCCAGAGAAGGAGTTGGCAGTAAATTCAGATTGTTTTGTTGCTTTTCGACACCTAAGGCTCTGTGACAACGGTTTAAGTGATTTAAATTAACCAGTACCTGGATGACCCCCCTCCCCCAAGCATTTGTATATTCAATGTGGGAAAGTAGTTTAAAATTGTGTATAGCAGAGTTACTTGAATTCACAGTATTAGAAACATCACTTTAGACTGTCACAGAGCACCATCTTGACTAAAACTGCTCTCATGGTCTCAGCATTTTCCTGAAGGGGACAAGGAGTCAAATGTTTTGCCACTTTGTGGCATTTGCTTCTTTTTATTCTGTTTTCCAAAAAACAGCGGGTAGCACTAAATGTGCTAATCTGGTCATTTTCATTGCCTTCTGGGAGCCTGGCTGCAAGAGTTAAAACATGATCCTAAACAAACAACTTTAGGCACATTGTGCAGTCTGTGTATATTTATCGTGTACCTGTATTGAGTTTTCTGTGCACAGCACTGCGCTGAGTATAGCATTCCAAAAAATACACTTACTTCAACAAAGCACATGTGTTCTATTTTTTTATACACAATTGTTTTAAAGTAAAAATTTGTATGAACATTTCAACCAGATGAGCATAAGAAACTTTGCCACGTTATTGTTTTAAATTTGCACATGATTGCTCAGTTTAGAATAAATTATTAAAAGAATGCTTTCTACAAATGCAGAAAAAGCTACTAAGTGAGAGTCAGATCGTCACGGAATTTTGGACTGCAGAAACCTTAAGGTTATCAAGTCCAGCATCCAGAGTCCCTGCTATAAAACCCTGGGCAGCTTTTCCAACTTGAATGTGTATACTAATGGAGAGCTGAATATTTTTCCAGGCAGCCATACTATTGTAGACAGCTCTGAATGGTAGGAAACTGTTTCTAATTGTCTTCAAGACATGCTGTTTTTGGATTGGAAGTAGAGGTCTTCTAGAAATCTCTCTCAGCTCTGTCTGTGACTTTGTTGCTATTTTAGGCAAAACTCTTTGAATCTGCCTTATTTTAGAAGATTTCTTTGGTTTCTTATTTTTTTCTTAATACTTTCTCACCTTTTCCCTGGCCTGATGATGTGCAAAGCTGTCTAGGACCATGAAGAGAGATGCCTGGTATGAGTGGACTGGATCTGCTGGGGATCGCAGTGCTCCCAATTGCTCAGCTTTGAATGAGGGTAGATCCAGCCCACAGCTGTGGGAAGGGTCAGGCTCCTGGAAGAATCTGCTGCTAGACCCCCCAGCGGGCACTTTGCAAACTACATCCAGCAGGAGCTCAAGATAGGACTTTGACAATTCCTTCTTTTTATTGTTACCCAAATAACAGTTGAGTAGCAAAGGAATTTGTTTATCTGTAACAAGTAGTTTCTCAGTATGATGGTTCTCTGCCACAACCATAGATAGTCCTTTCTATAATAATGATAAGAAAAAAACCCTTTCAATCATTTTTTGCATTCTGTGCCCTTTGCTACCTAATAGAAATACTACATTACGTGATGTAATATTTCTCATGACTATGGAAGAAAGGATCTTTGGGAAGAAAAGGTCATGGAGAGGTGAGGCTACAGATTTTATGTTGAATTCTGAGTGACTTCAAGAGCAACAGCTGTGGCAGACAATATAGACTTGCTGAAGAAGTATTGGGATGAGTATTTATCATTGGCATCTTATTACCATTCTTGACCTAGTTGTCATGGAGAAGTGTTTTTCCTTTCTCTAGTTTAGCTTGCCCTAGTAGAACAGCGGTCTAGTGACACAGAGTGTGTATGTGTTGAGGAAGGGGGGTGTGGGCCCTGGAGAGGAGCAGGAATCTTCCACTAATACTGAAGTCAGTAATGCGCTGCAGTGCTTTATGTCCAAAGGGGATTGCAACATTTCAGTGACATCTTTAAAAATCTAGTAAGTGTAAAGCATTTTTCTACTTTGGCATCCTAGCGGCGTTTTTTTTGTTCATGTCATTGAGGCTTTCATTAGGCCAGATTGTCAGGGTGACGGAGTTTGTACGTTATCCTTCATAGGAGGAGAGTGGCTTTCTTCCTGTAATGTCTTTAACAAGTTTTCTCTAAATTTAGGCCTTTAGCCACAGCATAAAGTGCTTTCTTTAAAAATTAATGGTAAATTCTTTATTTTAAAATCTTTACACTGCTGTATTTTCAAAGTGCATTTAAAAGCACAACCCATGTATTTCATTTATTGAATTAACATTTAGATCTTAATTCATTCTTTGTGATATTTTAAACAGAAGTGACCTTAGAAAAAGCTGAAGTGGGAATACTGATCTAAGTTACAGAAAGGTTAATGTGGGTTTTGTACAGTCTGGTCCTTGACAGTTATATAATATTTCAAAGTAAAGTTGCTTCTTAACCTACATTTGAATCAAGTTCTGCCTTTACCACTTTCTACCTGTGTGATCTGGGAAGGTTATCTTTAGCTTAAGTTTTATCATCTGTTAAAAAAGGGTGGGGGGGCTGGTAGGGGAGTAGTAATATTCACTTTGTGGGATTGTTATGAGAATTAAATAAAGTCATACAAATGAAAAGAACTTTGTAAGTGGTGAAGTGATATACATTATTTGCTATGGCAATTTTTAGGATAGTACCATAAATAAAGATTGATTCATAAACTCTATGCATTTTCTTATTTACATTCCAGGCAAAAGGTAACTTTTAACTTTACTATAATATACTTACTGCATCTTACTGTTAGTTTAAAATGAGTGGTAAGTAATTTCCCTCATTCAGAGGAGTTGAATGAATATTCATTCTGTTAAGTCCAGACAAAGGCTTTCTCCTATTGTCTGGGCATTCTAAATAATTTTTAGAGCCGGTCCTTTTGGTGAATGATTTTCTTGCCAGTAGGAATTTCGATATAAAGGTCTAAAAGTCTGATTTGATATTATTACCACATTAACCTTTTTACTACTATTTGGTTCATTATTGCCACCCCACCTACTGTTAAAGTTGTTTTTGTTTAATAAGATCTTTAAATCTGGTAAAATTACACATTTTGAGAGAAACTGTCCTTATGGTCAGTTAAACTGTGCCAAAATTATGGACTTAGAGGACTTCTTCGCAGGAAAACGGAATGTGCAAAAACAACTTGTTTTTCTCTGCTTACAGAACTGTTGTAAGTGGCAGGGTGGGGTGTGTGATGTAGGAGGGCTTAATGAATTTATAGACTCTATTTAAGAATTTTTCTTAATACGGTAGTACTGAAATTTCGAGGATAACTGGTTCACAAAATTGCCAGTCATTGAATTAAGGAAGCTGAATAGAGTCTAACCTTCAGATTTAGCTAAGTCATGGATTATCTGAGCTGTTAGGTCTTGGGTTAAAACAAAAAATCCTTCTCCCCATTTGAAATAGTGATCCCTATGGCAGCAATTGTGACTTCACTTTCAAGGTTACTCTGTGTCATGGTGCCCAGGTAGGTATCTTTCCTCAGTGGGAACTTGTCATCTTGGAGTCCATTCATTCTATAAGGGCAGTGACAGCCACTCTGTTCCCTTAATTCTTTTAACTGCCTACCTTCAACTCTTATGGTTTTCTTGATATATAGAGACCAAAATTGTATTGTTGAGGAAAATTTTTCCTCTACCCATAAAGGTTCTTGCAGCTGGTCTAAGAATCAGGTTGACATGAGACAGCTTAACAGGAGAAAAATCAGATTGAATTTCCTAGGTATGGGGCATTGACACAGACATGAGAATCCGAAAGCAGTCAGGGAAAATGAGGTTTGTCTGGCGTCCTGAAATAAGGCAAAGGGAAGGAAAGAGATTCACAGGAAGATGAAGAGAGTCAGTATTTGGCAAACAAATGTTTTGGGCCTTGCAGAAACAATGGGACGCTGAGAGGGATTTTGAAAGATTTTTCAACGTTCCTCCCTGTCTACCTCCCCTAGTTCATATTATACTATAGTTATCTCGGGTGATCGCTCTCTTCTTGGAGCAGGTCCTCTAAGTTCTTTTAGGCCCTTAGGGGGAAGGTCAGAGTTTCTTCCTGAGTCTTTGGGGCCTTGTTTGTTTTCCCCTCCAAATAATCTGCATGGCAAAGTGGCACATTTGGGGGCAGCCGGCCCTTGGCCCACATACAGTACGCTGAATCTCAGGGTCATATTTCCTGTGCCTTTACACCATGCAGGGGAGTTTTCAGTGTTAATATTCAGAGCTTTCCTGAAGATGCCCAGTACTGTGGGACATTTTAGATACAGCCATACATAGCAGTAAAGGGTTCAGGGAATCCATAATAACTATAATAAACTATAATAACCTATAATGACTTGTTTCTGTATCATCCTGGAATTTTAGTTTTTCTTCCTTTCCCACAAATTGTGTCCCCCAATCTTATATTTTACCCTATTGAAGGGTATTTACCACTTTTCTGCCTGTTTACACAAGATGTGTAAATTTATATTTGTTTGCCTGACATTTTTCTACCTAGAATAATACTATTTCCTTGGAAGTTCCTTGGGTGATTCTCCTTCACTGTGCATCAAAATAGAGCTTTTAGCAACTGCAAAGGCCTTGGCCGAAACCCCAGAGGGTGGGGGTGAGTAGGGGCAGGCATTGCTAATTTTTTTAAAGGAATTTAGGTGGCCCTGGTGTGAGTGCTGGGTAGTAAGTTCCCAACCTAGGTGGCTTACCAATAAACTCTTAATACTGGGCCCAATCTCTGAGCGTCTCACTGTTGATACTTTCACTTCTAAATTCAGATCCATAAACTCCAAATATTTTCTAAATTCCCAATTTATGGTGAAACAGTTTTTCCAATTCCTTGCCAGCTCAGTTTTTCTAGTACTTGGTGTAATGTCATGTCTGAGGCTTTTTTGCAAGTTACTAATCACTAGCTCCTGCTCATCCACAAGTTTGTGCTGTTATTGCCACTAAGAGTTCTCTCTTTATGTCCACAGATACACTGGCACATCCACAGAAAACACTTAAAATTCTTTGTTAAGTTATTGTTGGACATCATAGGTATTCAGTATGTCTTTGTTGTTGATGCAGGTTAATCTGTCATGATTTTGCCTTATAGGACATGCTCTCCTTTATCATCAAATATTATTGGCTTGCTTTGCTGCTTCTCCCCACTAGCTGTTTGTATTCTTAATGTCTAATCCCTTTGTTTTCTCTCTCTTTATTCTAGTTGCTGCTGCTCATGCCATTGCTGAAGAAAGACGCAATCAGAGTAGCAGTCGCTGTCTTCCACCCCAATCCTCAAATATAAGATCAGCATTTAAACCAGGTACAGTTTCTAAAATGCTTTGGTAGATCTCAGTGTTATATCATGACAGTTTGATATCCTATTAATGTCTAACTATATTCTTTTTTTTTTTTTTTAGTAATAGATGGATCTATGCTTAAAAGTGATGTAAAACAAAGATTAGCCAAGGAGCGCAGGGAAGAGAGAAAGAGACAACAAGATGGTATATTTTAAACATTTAAAAAAATCAAAACGAATTAATTTTATGTTGACGTTATATAATTTCCAAAGTGGTTTTACTTATTTTTACTAATCTGTTCATATGATAGATTATATTTTTTATGGTATGTATTATACTGGATTAAATGCTTTTGCTAAATTAGACAAAGAAAGCCCATGAAAAATATTTACTGTTTACTTTTTAAAGTACTAGTTTCTGTTAGCTTTAACTTTCTGAAAATATCAACGTTTATAGAAACAAGCAGAATGGGATTTCAGTGAGAATGATTCTAAAAATGAAGAAGTTGCTACTAATCCTAGCATAGATGCAGCTTTCACTGATGGCTATGCTTCTCAAGTGTGATTTTGTATCGGGATCTAAAAGAATGCTCTTTCTACACCTTGAGAGAATGCTTTTTCAACTGTGTATTTTTTCTCCTCTGGTCTTCCAAATCTAACAACAAAACTAGTGCTGGACTTCATTCAAATGTATATCAGTCATCTTTGTTTTGGGGAGGAGCTGTTTATTCCTGTAACACTTTAGGAGCGTATTTGACAACTGCACGGAGGAGAAATTTGAATGTAGGAAAACTTAATGCTGTTCAATAATGTGGTATGTGATTAAATCTGTGAACATCAAACTAGCAGGCTTAATATGGTCTTCATAGACGAGGCCTTTGAAGGAAGTTTCCTAGTGGAAGGGAAAAAAAGAAACCCCATATTCTGGCCATGTGTTTTTAAAAATTCTTATTTTAACATACAGCATGTTAATCTGGTGAGGGTTGAGTTCAGCTCAAATCAGCAGAAATATCACATGAAAGAAAATATTTCTTAATTTGGAATTTTAGTTTAGACAGGGTGTGAGTCACCTACGCCAATTCAGTTTTCAAGTTACATGAGCCCCAGTGACGGTGATTCTTTAGTGGCCCTTGCTGTCCGCTGACCCAGTCTTTAGTTATTAGAACAAGTGTTCTTTTTAAGAAAATGAATGAGATAATATTAACTTTATCCTTCTCTGTGTATAATGTGGAAACATACATATTTTCTTGGCTCTTACACTTTGAAAATGTATTTGGGATATTTCAGCTAATAAAGAAATACAACTACTTGAAAAAGAAAGAAAGTCCAAGATCCAGTTTGAAAAACAGATGGAAGAAAAACAACGAAAGCTAAAAGAACAAAAAGAAAAGGATGAACAGCGGAGAATATCTGCAGAAGAGAAAAGAAAACAGAAATTACGGGAAGAAAGGGTACGTCATTTTCTAGCCTGCTGTGTGATGTTACATTGTGGTGCCTGGGGCTGGAATACTTGGTTCTTAGCCCTTCTCTGCCTCACACCAAATAGCATTTGGTTTCGCCCCGCTGTCCAGTACTCACAGACCCTGTGCTCACAGACCCCCTGCCCGGCCAGCCGGGGATAGGTCCGTCCTGCCGCCTGGCTTCTCCCCGCCCACTCTTTGCACAGAGCGCTCACGTGCCCTTCCTGTGCCCCTGGCTCCCTCTTGTGTGCACTCACGGTCTCCCTCTTGTTCCTCATATGCCTCTTCTTCCTGTTTTGTGGCCCTACTGCTCTTTTCCTCTCTGGACTCTCTTTTGGTGTGTTTGGCACTTTGTCGGTAGGAGCCACTGCCTTTGTTAGGCTCTCTCTTTTCCCCTTCTGTCCCTCTTGAGTCAATCTGTCTTTTATTGTTTATACTTGGGCACCTGGCTACCTGTCTCATTCTGTCTTCTGATTCTCTCTGACACCAGGTTTTTCTCCTGTAGGTCATTTCACTACTTCACTCGGGGTATCCTTGACTCCTTGTGAATCTAGCAAGTTCTCTTTGACACTGTTCTCTCTCTTGCCGTCGGTCTCTTTTTCTTTATTCCAGTGACCCCGGTGCCCCTAAGTAAGCTTGCCTTCTGGTTCTCTGACTGACTCTGGCCTTCTGTTTCTACCTGAGGTGCTTCACTTTCCTTTCTGCTTTCTCTGTGTTAACTTCTGTTTCTCTCGCCATCTTTAAACTTTCTGCCTGTTGTCAGTATTTGTGTTTGTAGCTCCTTCTCTTTTTGTGTTGCTCTAATTTTTACACGTGTTTTTCTTTCCATTTCTCTTTGGTTCCACCTCTCCCGTGAGCCCTCCCCTGCTGCGGTGCTCACTTCCCCCTTACCTGTGTATGCTGCTGCCCTTGCACAGGCCGCACCCCTCCCCCTCCCCCATCTGGGGAGCTTCCTTATTCTAGGACTGTTCTCCTGCCATTTCTTCCCCATCTGTGGTCCACTACCCCTTTGTCTCTCAGTCTTTCTGAACCTTTTTCTCTTTCTGTGGTTATGTTCTTTTTCCACATTCCAGTGTTTGATGGACTTCCATTCAGAATTTCTGCCACTCTCTGTCTTCCTCTGTGAGACATCTCTATTTACTTGTCTGTAGTAGAGAGAATGAAGGCCAGAGAGAGAGAGAGATTGAGAATAAATTAAGAGAACCAAAGAAAATAAAATGGAAAGCTGTGTGCAGAGCAGGGGAGAGTCCCTGGAGGAGGGAGGCAGTCCCAGGGACTGAGAAAAAACCACCATATTAGAGAAAGAGGGAGCTGAGGGAGAGAACACAAAGAAGAGAAATATAACAAAGTAACAGTGAGACAGAAAGGAGGCCAGAAACATGGCGGGAGAAGAGGCAGAAAGATAAGGAGAAAGGGCAAGAGAGAATCAGCCCAGGAGAGCTAGAGTGGGCGCCCGAGTGTGGGCCATGGGAAGAAACCCAGTCTTGGTGGTGCTGAGGAGGGGCGAGTGTGGGTGGGAGATACACGCAAGCCACGATGCAGGAGAGAAAATTCCTGTGAATCACAAATGTTTTCACAATACAGCATTAATCTGTTTTTAGTCTTTATTGTACTTCCTGGGTTTCTGATTTAGAACAGCTTACTTTCTGTTAGAAAATATAATTTTAAAATATTGCCATGAGATAACACTTTATTTGAGAAATTACAGTTTCAGAGGATATGGGCAACTCTCCATTTTCCTTGAGGGTTATCATTGCCCTTAGACAAATGGTGGGGGCATCATAAGGGTGATGTTGCTCTGAAACAATTGTTGTCAGGGAGGGAGAGAAAAACCTTTCGGCTCTGAAGTTGATATGCTTGCCTGAGTATAGCCCATGGTCTGTTACAGCACAGGGGGAAGAAATCTCTGGGAAGAGAAAACTGTGCCCCTCACTTCTGGCAGTAGAGTTGTTCTGCCACACTGTGCATTTACATTTGTATCGCTGTTCTCCTGAGCAGATTAAACTGAAGTTGAGGTCAAGACAAACACATAGGTTATCTTCTTAAAAAGTTTCTTAGTTAACACCAGAATTTAAGATGTTACAAATGTGGGTATGAGAGATGCTTCTGGCATAGATGGCACTTTGTGCATATTAGTTGGTTTTCTTCCTGCCTCAGTCTACAAAGAATTGAAGGTATATTTTAAAAAATACATACTACAATCAGATGGTAAAATAAATGGTTGAGAGAATCAAGCCAGAGGGGAACATGAAAGTAGGAAAACAATAAAGCATAAGGTCTGATGAGCATACACAAAAGTGTACCGCTCAGTTTTTGTACAGTTGCTAGAAATAGGCTAACAAATTTGGTTCTAAATTCCCTGATGATATAAGCAAAGTAGGAAGCAGAGTCAGTTCCTAGATTCGGATCCATGAGATTAAGGCCTGTTTATTCAGGAGAAGCACTAGTACTGATCAGTACCTGAGACATGTCTCTCATTATTTTTAACTTTTATCTGATATGCAAAAATTTGGTGATGAAGCTGTTTTATAACCCACAGATCAAAATTATACTAATCAATGTAGTGAGTATGTAAACATTTGTTGACATTTATTTTAAATAGGAGAGATTCACAGCTGTTCTTTACCGTTCATTGGAACGGAGCAACCGTGTTGATCATCGTCAAAAAAGATGGTCATGGGAAGGCTCAACGACAGTAAATTTGGAGAGTAAAACTGGTAATTAATACAACTGTTAAACTTTAAATTCATTCATGTTCATACTTAAATATTGGCTATTGCTATAAGATTGCACTTAAAACAAGAATTTGAGCTCTGTGTTCTAAATGAAAACATTGTCCCTGTACTGTTTAGCTTGCACAATAAATTTATATTTATGTCATGTGCGATTACAAAAGAAACAGATGAAATGTTAATATGATTTTATTTTATTCAGTATATCCAAAATCTTACCATTTAAACTTATCAGTATAAAAATGATTAATAATTAATTAATAAGCTTTACACAGCTTAATCCAATGCATATTTAAAAAATGTCTTCCCTGTCTATTATTGATGTACTATACATTTTCCTCTATATGGACATAATTCTATACAATTGCATAAAACATTAGTAAATTTATATAGTTTGCAGGGAATGACTGTCAGTAAACATTGTGTACCTAATCGATGCATGTTTATGCTGCATAGAACTATATCACTAACCCATTACATTTCAGCTAATGAAGCTTTCTTTAAATGTAAGTACAGTAAATACTGTATTTTTTCTCAGCCAATAAGCGTTCTATATCTACTGAAAAACTTGAACAAGAGACTTCTGGCAGACACAAACAAATGTCTGTGTCATCTACAGGTCTCCAAAATTCCATTGCCAACAGTAAGTAGTTATTTTATGGATTCTACTGAATTTCACACTAATGAAAAAAATCTTTGTATGTATTTTTACAGTACCACTTATTTCTTTAGATTGTGGAACATTTAGATATATTTTAAAAGAGCAGCACATAACTATAGTAGATAGAAATGATCATTATTTTCTGTTTTCATCAACATAAATCCTTTTTTTTGTGATTTGTGTATTAATCATATCAGATGGTTTGTTGGACTGACAGCCCAAACTGAAACATGCTTTGACCAAAAGATATTGCCATTAAGTGGCACAGTAACTTACTTTAAAATTAATTCATATTCTCTCTAACCTATAAATGACACTTTTTTCTATGAACTAGTTAGATTAGTCATTCAGTTTCCATTGTTTTCATGAATATTACCTCATTTAAGAAAAATAATAGCGTATATATAGCAGGGAACAGGTTGATCTGCTCAACATATATTTGTTATTTAGAACAACCTTGTAAAGTTTACAAGCAAGTATAATTACCTTCCTAGTTTTATGGTTAAGACCTCAAGAAATTCAGTGATTTCTACTCTACTGTGCTTTTTTATGGTTTACATTTTGGTCATTTGATAGCTGGATCATGATATTTAAATTGTACATTTCACCAACAAGTCCGTGTTATCCCCCAAAGCAAATAGTGATAGCAGTATTTATGAGAGAAATACCGTGAAGCTCCACTTTACAGCTCTCCAGAGTGATAGTGCAGTGTTCTTTAAAATATACGAAGTTTTCTGCTTCGAGTATAGATACTTCAGAAAGCTTTTGCTCCTAGTGTTTACCCTTCTAATTAGAGTCCTTTATAAAAAAGATATTTACCTGCACATGTGTCAATGACCATTTCTGGCTTGTAGCACATGATGCTTCTCATTGATAATTGAAACGGATTAGACAACCATATACCCATCAATCAAAAAAAAATCCTATTTCTTTCCAGAGGAGGAAATAGAAGTGAACTTGGCAGGGAGAAGACATGGCAAGATAGTCCACATCATTCCCTCAAACTCAGCCATTAGGAAAGAAGAAATACCCCTTTAACGCCTTGTGAATTGAAAAGCATAATTACAGTTTGAATTAAAAAAATGTTTCTTTTGTGTTACTGGGTGCTTTGACATTGTTTTGAACAATGCCAATTGCTGTGAAGTTCCAGTACAGCAAAAGATTGTGGATCTCACGTAAACTATAATTAATTATAGCAGTGGTTAACTTGGGAAAGAGTTCCATTTTTGTCTGTATATTATGGTTTTAATATGTTGAAAAGGGTTTTTGTTTTGTTCATAGTTAAGTTATGTTATCTGTACTTTTAGGGCTTATAATTTCCAAAGATGAGCTTGAGAGGCCTTTCATTGTCAGTCTGGGTGCATCACGTTTTCTCTTGTAATGGGCTAACAGAAGTTGATCACTTGCCATTCTGCCCTTAATATGCTTCCCCAAAGCACTTTCATGGATAGCCGGGGTTCATTCATAGATTAATGTGGGAAGATTTTCTCTAGCACCTTGTCTGTCATAAAATAAATTATTTACCAACTCAATCCTTTAGAAAAATTAGATAATATTCATTGCAAAGTCATGTTTATATACTTCCATTTTAATATATCTTGTTTCACAAGCATTGACTATATATTACTAACTAATTACTTTGAGGAATTAGCAAAGAATTCTTCCACAGACATTATCTTTTTAATATAATGAGCAAACACTACTACTGTGCTTTCATTAATGTATCTACTTGCCCTAATTAATGAGACGTAAAGAGAAGGGCCAGGTGATGACTTTCAAGGTAATAATTAGTTAAATCACACTGAAGGAACAATTCCAAGTAACTTTTTAAATGATTTCTTTACTAGTTTTTAATAGAAGGAGGTATGTGTGGGAGAAACTTGGGGAAATGACTTGCTTAAAGGTATAGTATGTTGTACTCTCTGAAATGATGAATGTTGTAATTAATGATTCCAAGGAAAATAAAATCAATATTGGCAGTGGCTTACCTTTGTAAAATCCCTTCAAATTGAAATGAAACCTGTTCAATCCAGACAGATGAACATTTCAAATTCAAATGAAGTTCATAATCTAACCTGTAATATTTTAAATAGCCCCATTTTAAATTCTGGCTGATTCAAATAGTCTGTTTTTCTTCTGCTCACTGTTAACTCATGAAACTATTCAGGCTGTCTTGTCATTTCTTGCAGTGTGATAATAAAGGATGTGTGACTTAATCGTGATTGACTTGATTATACCTCTGTGGTTCATGTTGCTCAATTACATTATAATTCAAAAATTTTCAAATGGTACTGTATTACACATTATAGGTCCCCAAAAGAGCAGTTACTCTTTAAACAGACACTCCTCAGTATTCTGAGCTCCAGAGTATTTCAGTAAAATGGAAAAGTGTCCACACAACAGACTTTTCCTTTATAAACTGTTTAGGTTGCTAAAATTGTGATATCCATACCAAATGTTAATGATCATTTTTGTCTCCAAAAAATACTAGTTATACCTAAAGTATAAACTACTTTAGTAATAGATGTAATGGATTTCATCTAAAATGAAAGGTTGTTTGTTTCTAATTTGGGAACTTTGATGCTGTTATATAGTATCAGACATGTTCCTCCTAATTCTTAAATGTTTTCTAAATTTTATTTCAGATAAAGAGTAAACTAATTTTAAGTTTGGGGATGTAGAAACTCTGGATAATATTTGAAATCTAAATTCTTATAAGCAAGAGTAGAGAAGATTAAAAGCATTTGAAATAAGGAGTGGCTCATTCCTGAAATATATATTTAAGCAATTGTAAAAGATAATATTCCTTTGCCCTTGATTTCCAGAAAAAACAGAAAGGAGAAGCTCATCTTTGAATAGAAGGTGTAGCAAACTGCATTCATCTACAGAAACAGAACAAATAGAAGAAAAACCAGCTGGTTAGTTATTTCTAAGTACCAATCTTAAATAGTGGTTTAAGAGATATATTTATATCAACATTCAGTTGCTTGAAAAATCATTTCTAAAATTGGGAGTGAAAATATCTTACCTTTAGCTAAAAAATGGTGCCACTTTGGTACCATGCTTATTTGGCTGAAGCCAAAAGAGTCTGTCTTTAAATGAAACATAAAATTCTGCTATCATCTGAACAAGAGGTCTATAATGAAGCTGAAGAACTAGGTCACAGAATGTTGGTGTAGATAGATTTGTACTGGAGGACATGATTCCCTTCAAATATTTCATTAGTTTGCATTTAGAAGTTCTAAATTACTGGCCACATTTTGAACTTAAGATCTGCTCTGTTACTTTATGTATAGCGTCACCCACATCTACCGCTTGTGCATGTTTATTGATGAAGTACTTTATTTATAATAGCTTCTTTCAAACACCTTCCCCTGTAACTTTTCCCTGTCAAACATGAGTGTTGCTTTTTGTTTCATAACCATCCACTTACAGAATACTTTCCACTTAATTGACTCAGGTCAAATCCTATTGTAACGTGCCATTGTCATAGAGATCTTTATGAACATAAAAATTTATTGGGCCAAGATATTTAACAAGATTCACTTTTAACAGCAGAATTCAGGCAGCCCTTGGAGCTTTTGGCAATGAACTTGACCAGTATGACTGTCAGTGGCAAGTAGCTGTAGGAAACGATGCCAAAGCTCTTTTGTCATATCCAACTTTTTTCTCCATTTGTGAGTTCCTGCAGAGAGACACTGTACCCTGGGCATAGTTCTGTTGGATGAATTTCCTAGATTCCTTCCCTTGGGAGTATTAGGGCATGCTGGGGCCTTTGCGCCTTTGCTCAGGGGCTTCCTCAACACGGCAGCACTCAGGCCTGTTAGGGATGTGTTGCTCTCATTGCCCCTACTTTTAAAGCTGGGAAAGTCCATTTGTAGCCATTCCCACTGCTCTTTCTTGCTTTGTATTTGTGAGACCTTAAATTGAATCCTTTCCATTTCTCCTCATGCAGCTCGTTACCCGCATACCAGTCTTCGGGAGAATAATTTAATCACTCGCCTGCTCGTCCCCACAAAAGCTTCAATAGCGAGGAGCAAAAGTGCTGCTTCATTATCAGTCCCTGGAAAAGATACTTCAGGTAACAGGCATAGGGTAGAAATACTGAAAGTGTTAGTATTTGCACTTAGAAAGTAGGTTGTATCACTTAATTTGTTGTAGTGAGGCATAAAAATAATGTGCATCAGTTTCCAAATGAGTGAGTTTACCCAACATTTTATGATGCATATTCATTCTATGACTTCTCGCACAGTAAAATACTAATCTGGCTAATAGGTGATTTATAGGCTGAGACAGGTAATATTGGTGGTGGGTGTTAAATTTTAAAGCTCTGTGGGTTTCTGTACTTGTCCTTAAATGTGGCACAGTACTGAAAAAAAGTACTGGACTCTAAATAAAACTATATAAAATAATGCCAAAGGGAGAAGGTTTCCCACTCCATCCTTCTTTTTTTCCTAAAATATGGAAGAGTAAGAATGAACTTAAGAACATTAAGATTGTTAATAAGATAAAGCCTTCAAAGTTATTTGCATTTTCTCAGTTACAGTTTATGTAGTGTAGACATGCCCGTGGGCAGTAAGAAGTCCTCAAGGATGGGGAGGACTGATGCATTGTTCCTGTCATTTTTTTTCTTCCTTTACTTTTTTTTTCCAGAATATATCCCACCCCCCTTTGTTTTTATTCTGCCAGTAGTCATATGGTTAGTAGAATAAATGAAAATACCATCACAGACTTGCTGGTAATGCAGCTTTACTTCTTTTGGTTTGAATTCCTGACTTTGTTTATGCCAATTTTATGTTGGTCAGATTATTTTTTACCAGTCTCCTCCAGTCTATTGTATAATATTTCAGATTACTTTCATTTTCATCAAATATATCACTCCCATCAAAAAACTCAATATTTTGTCTTAAATTTCTATAGCTAATAGAAATCTAATTATTAAACTTACTATGTTTTCTGTAGCATAAACTCTCAATGTTAAATGATGTGACTGTTTAGGCACATTCAGATATGTAAATAAAATGCTCTCTCCACCAAAAGTGAGGGAATAAAACATAACATTTAATAGTCAAATTTTTTATCCATAGAACTCAATCTTTGGTAATTTGTTCTATTTTAATTATTTGATGAGATTATGTAAAAATTTGCCACCCATAGTTAAAGATGAGGTGACTAATTTAACATGTCTCAGGAAAGCCACCACCAAATACCTTTTTAGGAACATTTACTTTTTCTTAGACAGCAATAAATATTTAGTACAGGAAAACTTTTAAATATAATTCTCTAATGGATAAAGAGGTACAGACTTCTGGTTATAAAATAATCATAGGAATGAAAGTACAGCCTTGGGAAAATAGTCAATAATATTGTAATATCTTTGTATAATGACATAACTTCATTTATCATGATGAACATTTAGTAATATATATAATAGTCAAATCGCTATGTTGTACACCTGAAACCAATATAATATTATATATCAAATATGTTTTAATAAAAAATACATTAATTCCCTATTATCCCAATATCCACTGACAACTGAATATTTTTCTTTGCATTTATGTGGTTTTTTTTTCACAAAATGGGATCATAACCTGCTTTTGTTTAAACTCCATGTATACCATTTTCTATGTCCAAATATTGTATATTATTACTCTTAATGACTGCCTTAGTATAGCCCAAATTTCCTGTTGAATATTTGGATTATATTTTCAATTGTTTCAATGTTATAAACAATGCTGTAGTAAGTATCCTTGTTACACACATTTCATTTGTTTGCCTGATTTTTTCCCTAAGGATAAACCTAGAAGTGAAATTGATAGAACAAAGAGTATGTACTTTCTTAAGTGGCTTTTGATACATTATTGACAAAATACCTCCCAGGGAGCCTATATAATAAATTCACATTCCCACCAGCAGTATATGAAGTTGCCTGGTTCCCAACATTGGTATTATCACTTTCCTCATCTTAGGTGGTACTGAGTATTATCATTTTTGTTCATTTATTAGGCAAAAAATACTTAGATTGTTAAAGCTGGAAGAGAACTTCGAGATCTAGCCCATTCTGATTAATGTCTCATTACAATTTTTAGTATTGGTGAGAAAACGCTCTTTTTTATTTCTATTCTAAAACAATCATATATAGAGTGTCCTACATAATCCCCTGTAATGGTAAGATTTCTGGCCTTGGTGAAGTTGTTTAGATTACTTGAAGATCTTGTAATTTTCTATGAAAATCATTCTGAACTATCAAGTGATTAAAATAGGAATGGTTTATTGCAAACATCAACCTTGGAGAAACATTTTATTTTCCTCTATAGTGGACTGTCGCTTCACAGCACCTCTGTTGGTGGTGGTGCTTCTGCAGTACCAACTTTGCGAGGCTTCTCTCCTGTGTTTGTGATCCAATTCACTAAACAAACACTTCCGTGTTGTGTGTAATCCCTGTGATTTCCTAATTAAGTAGTCTCTTTTCTCTCTGTTTTTATTTATACTGTTACATGGTATATTTCTGTTTTGTCAAATTTGTGACTATGAAATTTCACTCTGTCTGCATTCATCCACAGGCATTAATACTTTAATCCAGTGTACAAACATGCCCTTGTGTAGCCATAGCAGTGATGAACTGAAGAAAACCACAGTACTTCGCAAGTCAGTAGTGCTTCCCCAGGAGAAAATAGAAACAGCCCCCAAGGTGAGCTTGGAAGCACCCCCCAAGGAGAACATGGAGGCGCCCCCTGAGGAGAACATGGAAGTGCCCCCTGAGGCAATCATGGAAGCACCCCCCAAGGCGAGCGAGGAAGCACCCCCTGAGGAGAATGTGGAAGCGCTTCCTGAGACGAGCGTGGAAGAGTGCCCCAAAGTGAGTACAGACACCACCACCCCCAAGACAAATGTGGCGGTGCTCACCAAGAGCATGGAAACATCACCGGAGGTGAGCGCAGATCCATCCCCTGAAGTGAGCATGGACAGGTCCCATGAGGTGAGCGTGGACCCATCCCCTGAGGTGAGCATGGACTCTTCCCTCGAGATAAGCATGGAAATGTCATCTGAGGCAAGCATGGAAGCATCCCCAGAGGCTAGTGTGGAAGTGTTCCCCAAGGCTAGCATGGAAGCTCTCCCCAAGGAGAGGTTGGAAGTGTCCCCTAAAACGAGCACGTCTGAGGCATCCCCTGAGGTGAGCGTGGACACATCTTCCAAGGTGAAAATGAGAGACTCTCCACAGGTTTGTCAAATGCCTTTTACTGACAAATTTTCTATTAAAATCTATATATTTAGTTGTGTAGATTATGATAGGTCAGGTTTCATAGCATAGCAACTTATTATCTGTAGCATTCTGCTAAAAAATTAATGAAAGAGGAAAACTCACATTAATGATTTAAAATTCTCTGATATTCATTGTACTGGAGTTTCCCCCAGAGCTGGAATATTAGCTTTTTAGTAAAAGGGAGAAAATGTAGCAGTTTTTGAAGAAATTTTCTGAAGAAAATTTTTTTGAGAAATATGCAAACCCTTAGTTAGGATTTTACAAATACAATTAGGTTTTGAAGTAAAAGATCTCTTTAAAATTTATTCTTTCTATGACCTGCTTGAATTGTGTAACATGAATTGTTAGTCTGGAAGAATGTATCTCTATACCTAATTCTCATACATGAAAGGAAAATTGAGAGTTTATAGAACTATAATCATATTCAGAATATTTTTCTCATAAAAAGAGAAGCCAATTGCAGTAGGGTAAATGCTAGTAACTACTTATTGTATTGATCTATTCAGAAATCAGAAATGGACAAACAGGCCTCAAACCCTGTTAGCAAGAAGCGTCCATCGTCACACATACCATGTTACAAATGGCCATCTCCTCCTGCAAGTGGGTGGCGTCCGCCCTCTCCCATCAGTGCTAATAAGTAAGTAGCTTGTTTGCAACTGTTCCTGATAGGTATTTTAGCAGGGTAGATTTCACATCAGTGTTTCATAAGTGAATTAATGTAATATGCATGGTAATGTAAATATAAAGAAAAAACCTTTAAAAATGGATTTCCCTTTGTCTATTACAAAATGTTATCTCATAATATCAAGACACTATATATTATGAAATGGTACACTATAACTTAATTAGGACATCCTTATTACAAAACCCTATCAGACTTTCCCCACTAACTATTAATTACTTTTTCCCAGCAGGCAAACCCAAAAGAATCGTCCCCCATCACCTTCACCTGTCACGTCAAAACAGTCAGCACATTCTTCTCTCCCCTATAAAATAATTCCTGTTCAGCGTACCGTATTTGCACAAAATGCATTGGGTAGTATTGGGAAGAAAAGAGAAGCAGTTCCTAAGACCACTAATAGCTCTGTGGCCGTAAGCCAAAAGCACGTGATCTCTGAAGGTAAGTTCCTTCACTAAGAGGTTTATTTTGGCAACACAGAAACTCATAAGGTAGTTTGGGAATGGTCAACTTCACTTTATTTCCTAATTCAGAGAAGTTTGAATGTAAAAAGAATTTGAGAGCAAGTTTTTAGATAAAGAGAATTTAACCAATCACTGGCACACTGCTTACTTCTTGCCAGAGTTTTTACTCACCAGCACTCCTTGTTTTGGAAAATCCCTTTCTGGAACTGATGTTAAAATTACTGGTTGGGTCAACATGTTGTCTAAGTGATGGTCCCTATGGTATCTTCCAGCTCTGGTAGTGGCTGGTTCTGTGAATGGCCCTAAAGTGTTTTCCATCCTTAGAGCACATCTTGCTGTTTGTGGCTGAGCAGGTTTCTATTAAGGGACTATAGGTAAGTTTCCGTACATAGGCCAAAACATGTGCCTGGGCAGTATGTGGGCCCCTGAAAGTACCATGTTGGTATTTTTGCTTGTCAGATGTGTATCTTAATATCCATGGACATTACTTAATTTAAGTAATGTTTGCTTTTTTAAGGAATTCCATAGTGAATTCTTTGTAAACAACCTTTTTATTACAAACTGCTCATTCTTGGTATCTTTAAAATCCTCATTTTCATATGTGGTTTTTTTTAAAATAAACTACTCAGATGGTCTAAAATATTAGAATATTCCATGTGGTCCCCACCTTTTTTTTATTGAAAGTCTTGGTTTCTTTGGTTATATGCAATTAGCCACCTTATGATCAATCATAAATAGTGATATATACTATTATCAACATTCAGCTAAGCAATATTTAGTAAAAGTGCACAAATTTCAAAATATATGCTGGATATATTTTGTTTAGTTGAGTATTTAAGATTTGTATACTTTGTCTGGACCATCATAAGCTCATCTTCCTCTATTTTCTATCTAAATCTATTTTCCTGTAGGGTCCCTGTAATCAGGTATCTCTCAAAACCAAAGTAGGGGTATGTTATTTTATTTTGGAACAAGTAGTTGTTATGGGGAAGTTGGGGTTTTGAACAAAATCTGTTATGTAATCACTGATAGCTTGCTTGTTGTTTATAAATTTTAGACCTTGTGCATACTGTTTAGTTTTTTTAATATTGTTGGTTGTCATGCACCTCTGTTGTACTTCAGGGGCAGTAAATTCCCTAAACTAATTACTTTGCATGTTGATTTAAACTAGGGTCTGGTAATAAAAGCACACCAGGGTCTATGAATGCTGAGGAGGCAACAAAAATTTTGGCAGAAAAACGACGCCTTGCTCGTGAACAAAGGGAAAAAGAAGAAAGACTACAAAAAGAAACAGAACAAGGGTCAGTACAAAATCATCCTTCCTGTACTATAAATCTTGGCAGGGGCTCAAATTGTGAAAGTCACAATTTACCCTCAGGTTAGGTGTATTATAAATTCTCAAAAAGCAACTGACTTTCTTCAGCATGAATCAAATGACTCATTGCCTTCTAAACAAGTTGGGAAGCATCCGTGTGAGAGGACACTGGTGAGAGGTAGATGAATGGTGTGCTCCTCTTTGAGTCTGCACGCATCGAGGGCTGCTGTGTGCTATAAAAATGCATAGAAGTGACGCAGACTTATCGCAGGGTCCCGTATCTTCACAGCAGCACCTGAATACTATTCATTGGTATTAACCCCTGTCTTTATTTTCAAAACCTTTTGTGACCTTAGAATTTGTAAACCTGGAAAGTGTACTTCCTGGTGTTTTACTAGGGGTGCTTTCCAGTGACCTTTGTGACACTTGACTCTCAACAGTCATTGCTGGAAGGATTTCCTGTGAGCAGCAAATCTCATGTACAGTTGTGTGCATTGTAAGTCTGTCCAAGGGTTTCTTGATCCCCAGTCTTGAGGCCTGTTTGATTTGGGACCCTGTAATGTAAACTTCTCTCTACTGTCTGCAAAGAATAACTATAGTCCTGGCTTTGTTTTTAAGTATTAAAGTGTTTTTGTGATACCATCACATGCTTTCCATATACTTTGTATGGGTTTGAGAGAAAAGAGGAGAAGGGGATATTGTAAATAGCAAAAAACTATAACTTGAAGAATGCTATTCATTGCTTTTATGGAAACAGAGCTAATTTAGCATTTTAAAAGCCCTAAATACTGGTCATTATGGACTGGGCTTTCCTCCTCTGGATACTACCTGCCCCTCTTCTAAATTACCCAGGTCACACCCCCATGTGAGATTGGGTATGAGCATGTGTAAATGTGGCCTTTTGGAGAGTCCCGTCTGTCTAAAGCAGTTAAGGAGTGATTGTATTTCTCTCTTGCATATGTTTTAAGATGCAAAGTAGCCCACTCTGATATAAATCCTTTTCTACTCCCAAGGGCTAGTTTCCCCCACTTACAAGGGTACAGCTGTACAAATTCTGTGTAGTAAATAGAAGCAGTATCACTATGAAAATGCTCACACTACCTACTGCAAGCTGTGTATGGAAGACACCAAGACAAATACTTAGTTACTTAAATATTCTGTGTCATTAGGGAAGTGAAAGACATGGCAAAGAAAGCAGTTGAAGGCCAAGAAGAAGAGTTCTTGAAATCTGAAGATGGGCAAGGACAAAAGGAGGTAAAACCGAAGAAAGAATATCAGGATCAGGAAGACCAGAAAGTGCTACTACAGGTTTGCTGGCCATACACTTTATCAGGGGATGAGAATCAGATTATAAAATGCAGTTGAAACCCAAAGCAGAAGTCTGTTTCTCCAAGAAAGAAGATGAGCAGATGCAGCATTCTCTGGCTGCATTTTTATATTACCATCTAGCTATTACCCAGTATCACTGCAACTCATTCTCAGCCACCCCGGCACAATCCTAGTATGTTTTCCACGTGCAACAAGAGCAGAAAGCAAATTATAGATAAGCAGACCTTTAGTTTGTCTACATAAGCGTTATTGTAGCTTAGTTCCAGGAAATTCAAGTTGCTTGCGCATAAACATCTCATATGAGTTTTCTAGTCCTGCATTTTATGGGGACACTCACAGCTGTAGCCAACACTTCCCCTCCAACAGATAAGATAAAAATTATGAGCATCTCAGAAAGTTTAGTCATCAAATTCACCAATAAGAATGTCTCACTCATGTAAATTCAATTAACAGATAAATAAATCCCCAAACTGATCTCTGACTTGAGCTAATTCAAATACTCAGTTTGAAATAGTTAACATAGCCTAATTTATATACCAGTTTTAGTGTATCACTCATCAAATTCAGTTATATGTTACATAAGTGACTGTATGCATTTGTATTCCTTGAGAAGGTACCTTTAAGAATCTTCTCCAGTGTTTTTGAGAAGTGTTAAGACTTTGCCCCTTTGCTATGTTAATGGATAGCTACACAATCACATAGATTGAAGCTAGAGTGGTATGGTGGCCACTGTAATAATAACCCTGAGGTCCAGGAGGGGACTAACATGCCTTCTAAATCCTCAAGATAATAATTAACCTAGTTTTGTACATTTTAGCTAATGCTTTGAAGACATAATCCGTGAATGTTGTATATACAGGTAGTGTCAATCAAAAAGTCACATTCTTTTTATTTATTCATTTTTAATTAAGGTATCATTGATTTACAATCTTATGAAGGTTTCACATGAGCAACATTGTGGTTTCAACATTCACCCATATTATTAAGTCCCTCCCCCCACAACCCCACTGTAGTCACTCTCAGTGTTAGTAGGATGCTATAGAGACATTACTTGTCTTCTCTGTGCTGTACTGCCTTCCCTGAAAAGGTCAAATTCTTTTATGCTGTATAACATTTCACTGTTTAATTTTTTAAACTAGTGTTCTCTGATGTCACTCAGATACATTGAGATTAAATGATGTTTTTATACAAATTTCCTAGAAAGAGGACACCAGCTTAAAAGCTCAGGAGGAGGCCGACAAACGCAAGAAGGAACATGAGAGAATTATGTTACAGAACTTGAAGGAGAGATTAGAAAGAAAAAAGGTACTTTCTCTATTTTTGGGGGGATTTGATTCTTTGTTTAAAACTGTATAGGACACATATCAAAACATGTTTTTGAAAATCACACACAAGTGATATGCTGGCTCCTGGTTGTTTTCCCATTATACTGTCTTCTTCCTGATCCAAGGATCTGACCTCTGCTACCTTGAAGGGTCCCCTCTTACGACCATCCCTCTCCCTCATGGACCACTGGTGGCTGTTAGAGTGATGCCTCAAATAGCAAATCTGTGGGAACAGAGTTCCTTTGAGTAGAATTATTCAGGTCATGGTAGGGGTTGGAAGTTTCTTTGTCTAAACTGGGCTGGTCGTTGCAGCAGCTGAATGGGAGGGAGCAGAAGGTGCAGGCTTCTCTGAGAGGCTGAGGTGCAGGCTGTTTGTAAGGTAGGACCTCACTTTATGCAACTCACATGGCTCGTGGGAGCAAGAAAGACCCTGGACCAGGCCAAGGTGTTGCAGGGCCTCTGTCAGGAGATCGGTCAGCCTGAGGAGGCCAGAGAGCTGTAGCTGTCCTCACCTTCAGGGAAAGAAGTGTCCACTGGGGAGAGTTCTTTCCTTCCTGGGTGTGTGCTTTTTCTAGTAAAAGCTCTGATGGTGCCCTATCATTGGGGTGCATTCTTTTCATTAATATTAGCTTTAGCCATGGTCTGTTCAGACTAAAATTACATTTAAAAGTCCTAATTGGTTTACAATAATATGTACTTAGTCTAAGTAATGAATTTCCAAGTCTGCAAAATTAGGAGAGGTCATTTCGATTTCTGTGTTATGAATACAACTGTCAAACTCAAGGCAATTTGCTAGATGACTGTGAAACTGGGATTGGAAGGACCCTAACTGCCCCAGGGTCTCATGTTGGTTAAGTCTGTGACTTGGGAGCAGTCACTGGTAGTGCCCACTTCTGGAAATTGGAAATAATCCACTTCTTCAGTACCACTGTTTTGTTTTTAATTTATTTTCATGTTTGAATTTTTATTTTCCTTTAAATAGAGAATTGAGGAAATTATGAAGCGGACAAGAAAGACAGATTCGAATGCTTCAAAGGTAGTCTGCATGCTCTTGACCAGCAGCATGTAAGAACTGCTGTTGCTTCACATTCTTGCTGACTTTACTTTTTGCCAGTCTGGTGGTAATGAAATAAAGTATGACTTCTGCATTTTCCTGCTTCTTAAAAAGTGTCGAGCCTGTGTTCTTATCTTCAGCTAGCTTTCATGTTTTTTCTTGTGTGAACTGCTTGTTTAGGTTTTTAGCCCTCAGCTTTTGTACTGATTTGTCTTTTTCTTATTTGTAGCTCTTAAAATGTTCTGGATACTACTACCTTCTTGGCTATATGTGTCAGATATCTTCCCCCAGTTTATGGCTTCTCTTTTCTTAATGCTGTCTTCTGCTGGATAGAAAGTTCTTAATTTTCACATTGTTGAATTTACTGGTGTTTTGTGGTGACTAATGGAGTCAGGGACCTTTTCTTATGATTATTGGCCATTTAGAGAGGATTTGGTGGAGTATCTTTTGCCCATGTTTCCATGTGGTTGCTGGCCTTTTTCTTACCGATCTGTAGGAGTTCTCACCTGCTCAGGTTATGCGCACTTTGGAGAGATGTATTGCAGGTATTAGCCCCATACTGGAGTTTGCCTCAGACTCTCCTAATGTCTTTTGATGAACAGAAGTTCATTTTAATGAACTCAAATTTAGTGGGTTTTTTCCCTTTATGGTTAGTGCTCTTTGGGTCTGTCTCATAAATAATTTGTTTACCCTAGCGTCCTACGTTTTGATGGATTGCATGTATCCAAGGACTTTTTTCTCTAGATTCTGTGCTCTTCACCCTCTGTGCTACACAACTGATAGTTTGCCTGTTTGCAACTATGGTCATTCATGCCATGAGAATTTGGAATAGAAATGTTATTTTTGAAAAGTTCTGGGAGTCACCATCTCAAAGACCATTTATAAAGTGCATTGGCCTGAGAAATTTTACCTCATGTAGCAGCCAAGAATTTTTTTTTTAGCTATTCACCAGTTGGCTCCACATTGGCTTAGGACTCCAAGTGGGCAGAGACCACATGCCAACCCAGAGCTGCTGTCCTTTGACTCTCATTCAGGGAAGTCTTCATTCTTGAGTGTATTTCCCCAGCTGAAAGGTACAGCTAGGACTGCGTGTCCTGTCCCCAGTAGATTCTTGGGGCCAGAGAGGTCAGACTTTTTTACCTTTTAATTGATGACAAAAATTAGCCACCAACCCAGCCGTGAAATCTGTCTTCTTTGAAATAACTAAGTCCGGATGATTGAATATTGTATGTAATCATGGCTTTCTTTTTCATCATAGGCTGTAGAAACATCTGTTAACAACATATACGAGGAGGACGAGGCAGATGACGAGGACGAGTCAGAAAGTGACGAGGAGTCCTCCGAGGCCAAGCATCCATCCGGTTTGCCTGGGTTTAGAGTCCTATTAGCCACCATTTAGGAGCCAGGCTGCCTAGGTTCACCCAGGGCGGCCTCTGTTTCTGAGTTTTGTAGCTTTGGGCGAGTTACTTAACCTCTCTGCTCAGTTTTCCTGTCTGAAAAAGGAGAAGCTACTATCTTCCTAGAGGCGTCATGAGAGTTCAATGCGATGATCTGTGTAACACTAAGAATAGTGCCTGATACATTAAATGCTCAATAAATGCTGCTGTAGCTGTTACAGTTTTATAGGCTGATGATAGATGGCAGCTCTTTCCCAGCTGGATATGAGGGTTGCTAGCATCATAGCCCAAGGCCTCATAAGGCATCTTGACCCACAGAGGTGGAATGCCACTTTCCACCTCATTGAGCAGAAGTCAAGTCATGTCATGATATGTGTGCCCTCTAAGATGTACTGTTGATTTCCTGTGAGCAGGAACTACATTATGGCAGTAGTCATTTAGCAATAATTATGGAATTTGAGAAAACACAGTTCGTCTGCCTTTATCTCACAAACAGCTATTGAGCGTGCAAGTCAGGTGCTCTGCTAGGTCCTGAGGATACAGAGATGAAGAGACATGGTCCTTCACCTCATGGAACTATAGCCAGCAGGGAGACGGACAGATGAACAGTGATACTGCCACAGCTAGTTGCATTAAAAGAAGCAGGGTAGGTGTAGGATCTGCCTTAGTGCATTGAGGAAAGCTTAAGGTGAGAGGTAGCATTGGAAGTGAGACTAAATTAGGAGGAAGAATTGGCTCGGTGGGCAGTCAGGAGAAAGGGTGACAGCATGGTGTGAAGGTCTGCCCTCTGGCCATTCTTTCCTGTCAAAGGAAAGAGGGCATGTTCCTTATAGGTGGTCCTTCTGTGCTTTGAGGACAGCAGCCTAGGCCGTGGCTCCTGGAAGTGAAGAGCTTAGGGGCTGCTGAGCCTGTCACCCAGCTAGAGTGCTGCCATCTGACTCTCCTGCCTTTATACAGATGTCCCTTGGGGATCACAGCCTTCACACTTTTTCTTACCTTTGTTGTTGAAACTCCAGTTTTAATTTTGTTCCTCTTTTTTTCCTAGCCTTAAACAATGGTGTGGATTCATCCATAGAACTCAAAACACATTTTAAAAATGTGAAGAACACCCCTAACCTGATGTTTTTAGATGCCACTTCTGGCCAAGACCATAAAGAGACAAAAACATTTTTTAATGGTGACATGAAAACGTTCAGACAGAGAAGTGTGAAAGACCCACTGACTCAGGCAAAGTGTACCAGGTGAGTCACTCAGCAAGCTTATCAGAATAAACTTCATGGGATTATAATCCACATTCTTAGAATGATACAAAAGGTTATTAACTGAGCTCTTAGTTTCTACCAAACACAGTCAGCCACTTGCAGAAATAAACTCATTCCCTTCTAACAATCTTGCTAGGTAAAAATTAGCATCTCCATTTTTACAGGTAAGGAACCCGAGGCCCAGAGAGATCATGGGCTTTATTTGCCCAACATTCTTCTGTTAAAGGGCAGAGGCCAGATTCAAAGCCAAATATATCTGAATGCAAACTGTGCTTTTGTTCACACTGGTTAATGTCTTCTAAAATCAGGAAGAGGACATTGAATGACTGCTGTATACCAGGCACTCTGCATGACCTATTTTAATTAACACTGCAACTCTGAGTTTAGTATTAATGTTGTCATTTTACATGGGGGGAACTGAGGGACAGAGGTTAGGTCGGAAGAGCAGGAACAGATTCTTGGAAAGGAAGGCTCCTCAGGCAGTTGCCTGAAAGGACATTGACGTACAAGGCCCATGGAAACAGGAATCCTCTAGGAGGCGCAGTGATGGTGTGGAAAGAGCAGCGGAGCTAGAAAACCGTTAGTCCTCACTCTGCCTTCCTGACTGTGTCCTGGGTCAGCTTTATGGAGGGACAGGCTTCCTGGAGTCCTGCAGGCCTAGCTGCTCATAGCCCCCTTGGTGTTTCCCTGGGACCCTAGGGCTTTGTAGGACACAATTTAGAGAAAGCAGTGTGTCCTGTGATCTCCAGGGTCCCTTCCAAAGCCTTCTTGTTCTGTGATTATGAAAGTTCCTTTACTAACAAAGTATTTCTTAGAAGTTTGTTAAAGGATAAAGCTTCTTTCAAGACAAATCCTTAGTTTGGGGATAATTAGGAGTCCAATGAAAACCTCTCCTTTCAGACCCTCCACCAAGAGATCGGCCAGCCGAGCAGCAAAAACCAGAAAGGCAGATGAAGCCAGCAACTCTGTGGGACCTTCCAGGAGTTTATACTCAGAGGCAGAGGAGTGGCTCTGTGACAGGATTATTGGCATCGGAGGTGAGACAGAGTCACTTATGTCCAGTGTCCTTCCTGATAGCCCAGAACACCATTTGGAAGAGTCTATAACATTCCACCCAAGTTCCCAGATACCTTTAGATGACAAGGAAGAAGACAAATGTGTTCTCGCTGCATCAGGTAAGACCTCATCCTATCTTCACTTCTCTTGAAAGGCAGTTGACCCTGAGCCTCCTCTGCTTTTGGCTGTTCCAGGGCTGCCTTGGCGCCGTGTAACTTTGGAGGCTGGGGAGAAGACAGTGGTGTACCTAAAGACTAGGTTGATGCTGAAGTTTGCTTTCAGAGAGTAAATGACTTGATGCTAATTTTTTTCTTATCAAAGTATCATTGATACACAACTTACGAAGGTTTCACATGAACAACATTGTGTTTGAACATTCACCTGTATGCTGCAATCACTGTCTATCAACGTAGTAAGATGCTACTTAATGCTAATTTTTATGTCCTCTATTTCCTACCAAAGTAGGTTCTTTTCAAACCCCAGATCCCTCAGATCCTTCCAAGTTCCTGATCCACCAGCTGCTTTACAGTGTGCAGATCATTCAGGGCAGACGGTTAGTGAGGCCTTTGGAATTCGCCTCTCAACCTGAGTGTCCAAAACCAAAAGGCCTTTGTTTTTCTTTCCTTGAGAAATTCTTTGAAATTGAGACAACCTAGGCCTATTTGGGAATTGGGGATGTGCAGAACATTTAATAAGAGCAGCAGTATGTCAGCAACTCCAGGGGGGCTTCTGAGAGTCCCAGGCCTGCCCTGAAGGGAGGCCAGGACACAGATGCTGGTGAAGCCACCCACTTTTCTACTAATATTCCCGCTTTTCTTTTTCCCTCTGGTCAGATATATAACCTCGTGCAGCCTGGAAGAGAATTCATTCTCTACTCTGGAGTTCAACGTCCAGGTCAATCTCCCAAAATTTCTCTGCCTCCAACTTGAACCTGGCAAACAAAATGACCATCAAAAAATGGGAAAACATCAAAAGTCACCTTAATGCATCTCAGAAGATGCTCTTATCATCCTGAATCTTGCCCACAAGCAAGAGTCCTTAGTAAAGAGTCATTTTTGTTTTCCTGTAAAGAACGCCATTGTCTCTCATTCTTGTGTGTCCTTGCCACACGTGTGTGATTGTGCGTCAGGGCTGCCTTTATAAAATGGTAACCCTTGGTTTCTAAAAGAACCTCTACCCAAGGAATAATTGTCTCTCAGTACCTATTTAAAATCTTAAAATGACATTTGTTCTCTTTAATAATTACATTAATTTAGCAATTAAAACTCACATTCAATTTTGTAGAGAACATAGAGGGATTCCGGATTGCTCACAAGAGCTTTGTTGCATCATTTCCAATTACACAAATACAAAAGGTTGCAAAATACAGTAAACCACATTCTACCATTATGTACGTACATTTTGAACTCTGCCTTAGCAATCTGCCAGCCACATGCACAGGTGCTGCTACCCCCCAGTGTTGAGAGTCCCAGAACGTGTGATCTGGGAGCAGTTAGCATCTTTTGTGCTCTTGTCAGTGTTCCTGATGAAGTACATATTAGGGTTTATCTACAGAAACGTATGATTTTTATTGTATACATACAGCAGCGCTTGGCTGTTGTTGTCTGGCGGGGTATGTTTAGTTCCTCTAAGCATTTACTGTGTGTAATCTTCTGCTGTGTTCTCTTGCTCCACCCTTCCGTATACACTCAGCCTTGGGATGTGGAACCAAAATTTGCTTGCCTTTCCTCCTAGCCATTGGCAGCAAGTGAGTATAGGAGCAGTGTTATCTTTGCTCCCTATGATAGGCACACAGATGTACACACATCCATACATGTATGCACACACACACGGTGTTCCCTGAAATCCAGCAAATCCTGCTTTAAACCCTTGACAAAAACTTGAATGCATATTAGTTGTCCTAATGCTAGAGTTTTCTAGTGAATCAACATTTTGGAGTAGGCCCAGGTTCCTTTCTGCTCACCAGCCTTGGATTAGTATGAGGAAGTGGTGATTCTTTCTGATTGCCTGGTTCTTTCCTATTCAGAGTAATGTACCTTTACTGTAGAGAACTTGGTGCCTTAGACTTCACAACTATGTTTATATACTAGTTTTTTTCGATAGAAGGCAGAGACAATCATCCTAGCAAGTGGGTTTCTGATATTCTGCACAAATGTCACATGTTGAAACTCTCTTACACCTCTGTATAAATGTGTGCTCTATGAAATAAACTTTGCAGGTAAAGCAAGCTTTCTTTTTGTATACCAGAAAAATGTGCTGGTGGTGTGGTATAAAGGTGACACCAACTGTTACCAAACTATGAACACAGGCAGCCAGTGAGCTCAATAAATAGTAATCAAATCCTCTGATGCCTCTTAGCTGGTTTGATGATTTGGCAGAGTTCACTTGGGGGTCATTTAAGATGTGAAGTGTCAGACTCTGTGCTCTTCCTGCACCTATTTCGATGCTTGAACTCTTGCCCCTGATGGCTCTGACTATATACTTGAGGCCAGTGATTAAAGTATCTTTTCGCTGTGGTAAAATTCACATTGTTAGCATTCCATGGCACTGAGCGCATTCACAGGGTTTGCAGCCATTTTCGTCACCTTAAATATACCCCATGCCCTTTAAGCAGTTACTGCCCATTCTCCTCCAGCCCTTTCAAACCTCATGTTTGGTGCTTGCCATGGATGAGGAAAACACTTGCTTTTTTAAAGTCTGAGCGTGTTCTTAGGCAGTATTTGTGCTGTTACATACACGTCATCATGGCATCACTGTTAACACTGTGTGTGTGGCCAAACAAATGTTCTCACCTGCTTGTAAATGGTTAGTTTTCAATCTGAAAACACGTTCTAGTCCACTAGGTTTTTGTTATCCCATCTTTGGGGTCGGGTGCTCCTGAGAACAGTGGCAGCCATTCCCCACCCAACATTCTGTACTCTTTGGTCCCCTTGTTGCTCTTGAGCCAGGATATTGCCTCCTTGGCATGCACACAACCCGAAATGCAGTCAGCCCACCCTGTTCACAGCTCCAAGGTGAGGGACACTGGCCTAGCTTCTCTGTCTTGTCCTGGGCTGGTGCCCTTGAACCTGATAGGGTACACATTGGTCGCCTCAAGTTTCCCTTCCTCTCTGGATAGCCTCTTGGTGTCCTCTTCCTTGAGAACAGGTCCCTGGCCTTTACCAGCGGATTTGGTAGATCAGCACATTTCCTACACCTGTGTCATGACTTGCCGATCACGTGTGGATTGACACCTTTTAACAACTCCAGTCCCTGCCAGCCATAAAAGTACAGTATGGAATACTGTGAAGGGTGCTAGACAGGGATCTGAAAACCGGAATCATAGCTGAGGCAGCTGTGAGCTTGCCATGTGACTGCATACACTACTGCCCCTCTGAGCCCTCATCTGGTTGGCAAGGGGTCTGCGCTACAATCCCAGGGCCCTTTCAGTTCTGAGGAATCAAACTCATTGTGGCAAGAGCGAGAGGACCAGGAGGCGAGGCAGAACAGCAGCAGCAGCTAGTACCAAGAAGCAAAAGCCTGGGGGCAGACTGTGCCACAATGTACAGGCCCATTCCCTGCATCACACACAGCGCATCCTGCACCCCACGGCCCAGTCTGTGGAAGCAGGTCCCAGAAAGGCTGCCTTGCCCTTGCCCTCTCCCACCAATCCAGTTCCAGCGCTTCTACATGGGTGTGTGTAATAATTTCCCCAACTATGTTGTAATAACTAGTTACTGTTACACACACTATATGCCAGGTACTTTATAGGCATCATTTAAAACTTGCCAACAACTGTGTGAGGTGTGGGTATTCGTTTTTACCTAGGGGGACACAGATTTGTGGAGATTGGCATTTGTTCAAGGTCGCACAACTAGAAAGAGGCAGAATTCAAAATTCAAGTCTGTCTGATTTTAAAGCCAGCACCCCACACTGATTTGGGAATGGGAACAGTGTCCTGTGGCTTGCATTGTAGGTAATATACTGTCTTTGGTGCTGGAGCTCAAAATAATTGCTGATGTTTGCTGAGCACTTTTAATGGGTGTCAGTTGCCCTAATAAGCGCTTGTATTATCATGTAATGTGCATGTGATTCTACAAGGTAGGAATTCTGTCTTGTTTTACGGGCAAGGAAACAAGCTGAGAGAGATTCGGTAACTTGCCCAAGGTCTCATAACTAGAAAGTGAGGAGTAGCCAGGATTTGAGCCCAAGCAGGCTCCAGAGCCCACCCTGTTAACCACAACTGGATATGCTCTTGACATTCTGATCCCCTTAATTATGAGGGAGAAAGCATTCTCTGCTGAAAACTTGATAACTAGAAATTTCCCCTCCTGTCCTGAGTCTTACAATTGTTATCTCAAAAGTAAGTACTGAGCAGTGTGCATGATGGTTTTCTCATAGTGATGTGTCACAGTGTCCCTGCCCTCAAGGGGGCTCACCATTTCTATGGCAAAGCAGTGACATAACTGATAGGCTACAGGTGTGCCCTGGGTGGTGTTTTGACCCTGTTTAGCTGTGTGACCTTAGGCAAGCCTCTTAACCTCTCTGAAGTTGAGTTTTCTCATCTGGAAAATGGGGGTGACACTGTTCACTGTGAGGATTGGATATAACATGTATAAGGCACTTCTCAATATGCTTCAGTGCTAAGGATGGGCATTGCATGGCAAGCAAGGGTTGTTTCTGAGTGAGGAAGGTGGTGGAGGCAATCTGCTGGGAATATGGAGGAAGTGGCGGAGTGGTGGGACAAGGAACGTCAGGCAGAGTTGAGGGCCCATAGGAGTTCCTGCCATGCTGGTGGCTGCAGTCTGTGGTTGTGTGGCTTCTTCTTAGCAGAGCTCTTCGGCCCTGGCATGGGCTGGGGTTCTGCAGGCCAAGTGGGATAGGAAGGCAAAAGGGTAAAAGGATTGATGGGGCACATGAATGGTTGACGAGACAGGGCACAGACTCTAGGGCAGGCGATGAGGAAAGTTAGGGCAGGGTGGAGCTGAGAAGGGACAGGAGGGAAGCTGAAGCAGTCAGCGGACTGGGGGGCACAGAACTAGCGCCGTGAGGAGGAGGAGGACCAGGAAGGGAAGGGAGTGGCAGTTAGAGGAGAGGTGAGTCAGGATGCTGAAAAGGTGCAGGGTTTGCTGAAGCCACACAAGCAGAGGTGGAGGATGCTGGAGCTATGCTGTGGTCTCTCCCCAGGGAGGAGTCCTGAGTGAAGGCGGGGTGGCCCCCCGAGCTGGGTCGCTTATGGCAGTCTCAGTGACTCAACCTGCCTGCTTCCTGGAGAAGCAGGAAGAGGGGCGCCATCCTGATCCTTCCCCAACTCCTGCTTCCCTGGGGCTCCAGAAGTTCACTAGATACTCTTTTCATGGCTTTAACGGTTTTAACTGCTAATTCCACTAGGGAAACATACACAAGGGGCTGTTCCCCATTCATAAAAATGTTTGTCTCTTGCTGACAGGGTTTGATTCCCTTCTAGTACAGTGAACATTAGCACTGAAGGGGTTGTGCCCCTTACTCATGAGGGGCTAACACCCTCTCCTTCCCGCTCTGCCTTTAGCTGTAATGTAGTTTGACTAGGTGGCTTCATGGCCTGGTGACAATTCCACGGGGCAGAGTGCTGCAGGCGCTGATGTCACAGGCCCTCCAGGGCTGTCCTGAAACCACCATGTGGTGTGGGCCGGTGGGTGGCCCAACAGCATGAGCCTCGGAGGTGTGCGGTGACCTAGAAGCTTCAACCTCTACCTGTGCCCTCACTATCCCTGTGCCCCCAACTCATTTGATGGAAGTACTTGGGCCCAAATGTGCAGCCTTCCATATAGGCACTGTCCGCAAGGGGAGCAAGGTTCTCCTGAAGGCCCAATGGTGGAGGGAACAGCCCTTGAGGATGTAACAGTGTCTGACCTGGATCCAGGGCAGCCAACAAAGGGGAACCATGATTTCCAGAAGACACGCTTCAGTGTCACTCGCTTCCCACGCCCCCCACCCCCACCCTGCTGGGCAAAGAAAATCAATTTGCCCTTTTAAAGGGATATGAACATCTGGGAAATGCTGCTTTGGGTCAGAGTGGGTTTCTGTTGCTTTTAACTGGAATCTAAGTGTTGTT